TTGAAAATTTCAATTAATGTGGCAACTTTGAATAAAAGTTAGCAGGTAAAAACGTTCTCAATCGTGTTATTAAAAAAGATACAGCTGATAAAGACCGTTCTCAATCGTGTTCTACCCATTCGGGAGATCAAAATCAACAATTCTCAGAAAGCGTCAGAAAAAATGATAAAATTAAAAAGGGAATAATGAGATTTCATACGCAAATCCAATTTTTGACATAAYTGATTTTATTTTGTTGATATAACTCAAAAATTGAAAACCATATACATGTGAAATTTTTACCAAATATTTATATTAAAATTTTCCACGTAAGATAAAATTTTTGACTCATTTTTAAAAAATTATTGTAGCTTATAATTTTTTCACTTCGTAAAAAAGCTTGAAAATGTAATCCAAGGTTCCTTATAAAATGCTTTAATATTAATATAAAAATATTAAATTTGATTATTTTTTATACGCATTTTAAGTTCAAATATTTACAAAATTCATTAAATTCCGAAAATTTGAAAATTATTTTTTTGGTTAGAAATTTATGAAAATTTTCTTTTCATAGCTATCGCATTAATAATTTTAACAAAGATTCCACACATTTTTTATACCTTTAAAAAAAAAGTTTACTGTTACAGGACATTAATTTTTTATGAGCATTTAAATTTAAAATTTTAACCGTTCAGCAGTTTTTTTCATAAAATTTGATTATTTATACATGTATGATTGGATGACACACCGTCTTCTTTCTGATTCAATTGTTATGGCATACATATAATACATAATACATATGTATGTATTATGTTTATTATAGATTTAGTGAATATTCTGAAAAAWCATAAAAGTACAATGAATATATTTGAATTTTTGAAGAATTAGTGTAACTTGTATTAGAACTATTTAATATTTAATTTAAAAAAAATAAATACATATATTACACTGTCTTAAAGATTCGTTAGTGGTATGGGGGTGCTTAGAATGTTTAGACTCATCCCTAAAAAAATATTGAAATCCTCAAATTATTGAACATTTTTCAAAGCTACTTCTTCTTTTTTTTGCAAAGAAAGATTGAAGACCCCTCTAAAATTTAATAAAATCTCCACATATGCTTAAAATCTAAAATTAAGAAAATGTATAACCATAGAAATAAAAATAAAATTCTTATCATATTAATTTATTAATATATGTTTATAGTTAAATTGAATCCCTTGTTTGAGCCGTTTTCATAGTTAGTAAATATTACCTAAAGGTCATACTTATGAAGTTCTTTTAATTAACTTAAAGTCATTAAATTTTAAAATATGGATAGTTAATAATGCAATAATAATAGTTCAAATAATACAATTTTATTTTTTAAATAATTTATGCAAGGCTTTGTAATGACTTCTGGCTTACGTGTTAAGATTAAAATAATATGCTATCATGATATTGTAAGATTGTGTGATGTATTGAGTAGGTATAATCTATATTGGTGTTTTATAAGTCTCAAATTTTAATTTATATTGATTGTTTTTTATAATAGGTAATCAATGCTTGGAGTCCGATTCGTGTCAATCCAACTTGACTTTAGACGTATTTCATTGTGATGAAACATACTGTATACCAAAATCGTTTGTTTGCAATGGCATACCAGACTGTCATCAAGCCCAAGATGAAGCTGTRTCTGAATGTGGTAATATATTGTAACTTTTATTTTTAAAATACAATATTTGCGTTTTAATGTTTTYATTAATCATAAAGCTTTCAAAAATAATTTACTTCAAGTAGATCATTATAATTTATAACTTATAAATAAACTTTGTTTTATAGATTTTGAAATTGGTATTATTGCTATACCTACTGATTAGCAATAAGTAACTGTACGATATTTTTAGTTTATTATTAAAAGTTTTCAATCAGGTGCATACTTTTTAACATAAAAATATATGATGTAGTTTGCATATAAAATATGTATAGAATCTAGGTTGTTTCCCACCCGACTTTTTACCCACTTAATAAATTTTAAGGATAACTGAAGATTGCATCCTGTTATGTGTGAATAAGTCCTACCCATCATTTATTATGATGATCATGTGGCTTTACAATTTTTTTTTTAAATTCAACTTTAAAGGGATCTGTGTTAAATTTTAATTCTTAAGTATTTAAATTTAACAGTTTATACATTTTGTTACTGAAAACTGATATTAATATGAATGTCTTAATATGTTTCCATTAGACCCTATTACGTACAAATTTGTCCATTTATTAATCTGAAGAAGCATAATAGTTGTCAAATAAACAAAAATATATATAACAATTTTCCCATTTTAAAGTTAAATTTTGATAAGCGAAAGTTCAAATTTGTTTAAAAGCTGTTATTTAGATCTATATAAATTAATTTAATAAGGAATTMAAATTTGTTTTTTTAAATCTACATCGCGTTAATTATTTTTAATAGTTAGATTGATCAGTATTCAGCAATTACCTACCTTTTTAAGAAAATAGTATTCTTTAGCATAAAAAATAGTCTGTTTGGAAATACCTCAATTTAAATGTTATTTAAATCTTAAATTTATTTTCCCTTTTGTGGTAAATGTACTACTTTCAGTTATAAATTGACCGAATATCATATATATTAAATATATATAACTTTATTTAAAATTCAATAAAAATAATACTGATATATTATTATATTATATTATTGAATATAACTGCAACCCCAATGATAATATATTCCTTCCAAATTTTGGGCAGCTACTCGTTAGAACTAATCAGGGCAATGAATGAATGTAAGCCGTTTCATTTATTCTTGAACAAAAGTTTGTACTATAATTCTTCACTAATTGGTACGTGGTTGGCTGTGACATAAAAATTCCAAACTAATGTTTGTATTAAATGAAATAGTATACATTTACTACACTTTCCTAGAGATAGGAAAGTAAAAGAACGAAAGATAAAAAACTAAGATTAAATTCAAYAGTACAATAGTACAGTTCAATCGGTATGATTTTATTGAATCTACGTCATTCGACTTCACAAAAAATTAAAATTAAATCTTTATCCATAAGCAGTCATTGACAATAATATTGAAATATGATAAACTTTTTCGATTAAAAAAAAATTGGCTTTTAGACCAAAAAGCCAGATAAAATTGAAGGCATTTGGTTTTCGTATTTCGATTTTTAAAACTGATTTATATTGATTAATAAGTTTACTAGGTTATTGC